CTCTAGCGTATTCAACATCTGACCCAACTGGCTCCGACCATCGTATAGTCTGTGCTAAGATAAGGCTTAGTCTTCGTTCCTGTTATGGAGTGGCATTACGCGGCCACCGTATCCATATTCTATGATGTTATTACGGGCTGTTAATAAACGTCTCTCAGTGAATGCTACACTTGAGTCCTGCCGTCGTTAGAACATGGTGTCAGAAATTAGCTGAATCCAGCGCCTTTACCGCAAAGAACCGGCAAAATCTTCGGCAATCTTGGTGAACGGATCACAAGGCATCCATCGGCAGCACAGACTGATCCTGTCACACATGGTAGGCTGTGCAAGAGAACGATAAACTGTACAATTTTTCACGCGGAGTTCCCGCCATTGAACACGTGCGTATTACACTGTGAACGATAGACTGTACATGTACGTATACATTGCACGTTGAGTTCACGCCATTGTCGTCAACGTGCGTTTCGCTGTAAACTACGGAGGCCTGTAACGGACACATCGCGGTGTACATTACGCACGCACTGCATATTAACCATGGCGCACTCGCTCATTCCCCCACCGGCGAAAATGGACATGAAAGGAGACCAGGTTTTCAACTGGCAATTTTTCAAGGCAAGTTGGCAGAACTATCTAGTGGCCACAGAACTGGATAAGAAAGATACTTCCATCCATGTGGCTACATTACTCACAGTTATGGGGAAGGAGTGCTATGAAGTGTACGAAAATCTGCCACTAACAGAGGAACAGAGAAAGTCACCACAGCAAATCCTAACCAGCCTTGGAGCTCATTTTGACCCTAAACGCAATGTGGTGTACAAACGATTCATGTTTAACTCCTGTAAGCAAGAGCCCAAAGAGAACATTGACACTTTCTTGAACAGGCTGAGAAAGTTGGCAACCACATGCAATTATGGAGCGCTTCTCGATGAAATGCTCCGAGACAGGCTGGTCATAGGAGTAGTAGGCAACAGCATCCGTGCTCGTCTGCTGCGTGAGTCGTCACTGACATTGCAGAAAGCCATAGACATGTGCCGCAGCAGTGAACAGGCAGCGATCCACCTTCAGCAGATGGATCCGGTAGAGGCAGAGACAGCACACTTTGTGAAAAACAAGCAGCGGACACAGAAATCTGGAAAAGCCAGCAAGCCTCCGAACATAAATTGCAAATACTGTGGCAAATCACACAGCAAAGGCAGGTGCCCAGCCTACGGGACAACTTGCTCTAAGTGCCAAAAACGCAACCACTATGCGCAGGTTTGCCAGTCATTGGGCAAAGACCGCACCAAACGTCAGCCACAGAAATCCACACAGAAGCTCCACCAAATGGATGGAGACGAAAGTGGCAGCGACGAAAGCATCTATACAGTGCAGTCAAAGCCCAAGCAGCAATACTCTGTTGAGCTAGCAGTGGAGACGCCCACAAGGGATCTGACAAAGACCATCAGATTTCAGCTAGACTCTGGTGCAACTTGCAGCACCATGAAGCTGACAGACTACAAGCAGCTCAGTGACACGCCTCCGGTGCCACCAAAGACTAAACTGAAACTGTACAATGGCACAATAATTCATCCTGTTGGAGCTGCCAGCTTGAGATGCCAGATCAAAGGGGTCACCAGGAAAATCCACTTCGAGATCGTGGAGGATGTCCCCTCATCTCTGCTGTCAGGTAAAGCAGCAGAAGCACTGGGACTAATGCAGTTCGCACAGGAGTGCTTAGTGCATGCAGTGACAGAGTCACCGACTCAAACCAAGGAACAGGTCCTCAGTGAGTACAAAGACGTATTCACTGGCCTTGGTCGGCTACCAGGTCACTACCACATAGACATTGATCACAGTGTCACTCCAACGCAGAACACCAGGCGCAGAGTACCCATCCCGGTGCGGGCAGAGCTGAAACGAAAGCTAGACAGCATGACAGCCCAAGGCACCATTGCCCGGGTGACTGAGCCTACCAAGTGGATCCACAACATGGTAGTCGTCAGAAAGCCAAACAAAATCAGGGTATGCTTGGATCCACACGGCCTGAACTAGGCCATTAAGCGCAACCATTACCCCATTCCCACTGTAGACGAAGTAGCCCCGAGACTGAAGAACGCCAAGCTCTTCTCGGTGGTAGATGCCAAGGACGGTTTTCTTCAAGTCGTCCTTGATGAGCCCTCCAGTTATCTGACAACATTTTGGACGCCTTACGGGCGTTACCGCTGGTTGAGGATGCCCTTTGGTATCTAATCAGCACCGGAAGAATTCCAGCGCAGGCTCCATAAGTGCCTGGAAGGCCTGGAAAACATCGCAGTGATTGCAGATGACATCCTCGTCTACGGCTCAGGAGAAACGCAGGCTGAAGCAGAAGCCTCACACGACGAGAGCGGAATCTGAAGCTGAACGCAGCCAAGCTACGGTACAAGCTACCCAGTGTCACATACATGGGACACGTCTTCAGCTCAGACGGACTATCTCCAGACCCGGAGAAAATCAAGGCCATACTCGACATGCCTCGCCCTACAGACGTCCAGGGAGTGCTGAGACTCATCGGAGTGGTAACCTATCTGGCTAAATTCTTGCCAGAACTGAGCACAGTATGCGAGCCACTCAGACGTCTCACCGACAAGGACGTCATATTTGATTGGTTGACACATCATGACGAGGCCCTGGACAAGATCAAGAAGCTCATCACTAAAGCACCAGTACTGAGCTACTATGATGTCAACCAAGACATCGCGATCGAGTGTGATAGCTCCGAGGTTGGGCTAGGAGCCGTCATCACACAAAATGGCCGCCCAGTCGCGTACGCCTCACGAGCACTTTCTGCCACAGAACGCAACTATGCTCAAATAGAAAACGAGTGTTTGGCAATCGTATTCGCCACACAGCGCTTTGAGCAATACATCCTAGGCCGCGACAAAGTGCTCGTGCTCACCGACCACAAACCTCTGATGAACATCTACAGAAAGCCAATCTTGGTGAGCCTACAGAAGTACTCACTACACGTAGAGTACAAGCAGGGTTTGCGAATGTACTTCAGCGATACACTGTCGCGAGCATTGTTGCCAACACGACAAGTCACAGATCAGACACCAGACTCTCTGATCTTCTCCTTCACTCAGGAGCAGAAGCTCAACATGGAGTTGGAGAACATGGAACCAACCATCTTCGTCACAGACGAGCGTCTGCAGAGAGTCAAAAAGGCAACGCTCGCTGACCAAACCCTACAAACGCTGATGCAGGTAATCCAAGCAGGCTGGCCAGGGGACAAGGCTCAAGTTCCCTTGTGTATCAGGGAATACTAGCCATACAGAGATAAGCTGTCAACACAAAATGGGCTCATCTTTCGCGGAACGCGTATTGTAATCCCAACAGCTCTCCGTGCAGACATGACAGCAAGGGCACATGCATCTCACATGGGCGTGCAGTACACCACCAACACTGCACGAGACATAATGTACTGGCCACGTATGCACACAGAACTGGTGGAGGCAGTCCAACGCTGCGCAATCTGCCAGGAGTCACAACCAGCTCTCCCCAAGGAACCCCTCATGACACACCCAGTACCCAAGAAACCCTGGCAACTAGTCGCGAGTGACTGTTTTGAGGTCAATGGACAAAACTACTGCGTACTAGTAGACCTCTACTCAGACTACATTGACTTGCGCGCCCTGGAAGACATGACTTCCGAATCGCTAATCAAGGAACTGAAGCCAGTGTTTGCCACCCACGGCATTCCTCACACCTTGATCACAGACAACGGATCAAACTACGTGTCACGCGAGTTCACTCAGTTCGCGAATGACTGGGACTTTGAACACACTACCTCAAGCCCCTACCACTCCAAATCCAACGGAAAAGCAGAGTCCGCGGTCAAAATCGCCAAGGGACTTGTGACCAAAGCTGCCAAAGACAAAAGTGACGTGTGGAAGGCTATCCTTGAATGGAGGAACACCACTACTCCGGGAATGTCCAGCTCTCCGGCACAGCGCTTAATGTCTCGACGAACGCGCTCATTCCTCCCTTGCAAGAGCTCACTGTACAAGCCCCAGGTTGTAGAGGCCGTCACCGAGCAAGTCGTGACCAAAAGACAGACAGCTAAACTGTATCACGACCGCACTGCCAAAAGCCTCCCTGATCTGGTTGTCGGACAGCCAGTTCGCGCCAAAACTCGACCCAAGGTTGAAGGCTCCCCATGGACCCCGGGAGTGATAAAAGCTAAAGTTGCGCCACGCAGCTACATCGTAGAAGTCGGTAGCAAATGCTACAGACGCAACCGCGTTCACCTCAGAGACAGTCGGGAAAACGCTAAACAACCTACAACACCAGTCACATGCGTGAGTGAACCTCAGCTCATGCAGCAACCAGTCGCTAAGGCACAAGATGTGCCTTCCGCTCCGACAGACAAACCTCCAGGACTGAACACCAACGCTACCATCACCAGATCCGGTCGCATTTCCAGACCACCAAAGAGACTTATCGAGTCATAAATCTGACTTTGGGACACTCACCCACAAAGCCTTAGGGCCATAGGCCAACACTTAGTTTAGATAGACTACGCTTGCATGCAGTTTATTGGTTAAAGTTGCTTTTACTAAAGTTGTTCTTAAACTAACCTTATTACTAAGTAGTGTTAAAGGTTTAGAGCTGTTCCAAATACGTTCTAGTGTTAAAGCGTTCATAATGTTTGCTGAGTTATTCACAAAAGTTTAGCGTTCGTGATCACCACTGTAACAGACCACAGTTTACACTCAGTCTCAAGTGAAAGTTCAGCAACAACAAAAGACTGTTCCTTATCTTAAGGAAAGGGGATGTTATGGAGTGGCATTACGCGGCCACCGTATCCATATTCTATGATGTTATTGCGGGCTGTTAATAAACGTCTCTCAGTGAATGCTACACTTGAGTCCTGCCGTCTTTAGAACAGTTCCACAAAACCTACTGCCCGTCCTAGACTGAACTGGTCTGCAAGGCTTCAGATAGAGAACTTGCATCTTCTATTGAGGACCGTATCACCCATGAGTGGTCCTCATTGTGCCCTGACGACCAATCTTATGGCTCCTTCGTCAAAGTGTGTGAGAGTGTTGGGAAGTCTCTCCTTCCATCACAAACCAAACGACCACCTAGCATTGCATCATCGACACCAGTCAATGTAGCTCGAAGAAAGGTACTCACCTCCTAACCAACCAATCTTCCTGCTGCTCAATCCAACCTCAGTAGTGTGTATGACGAGCAAGAAGACCTCAGAGTCAACAACATCCTCAGTGCTTTTGACGAGTGGGAATCGATCAACTCCATCCAAAATGCCTGGAAACTGGTAAAACAGCTCTCTGGTAAACGTCCAAACACCGTTTTCATTCAAGGTGATGATCGACTTGCCTCTTGGAAATCCCATTTTGAGAAGCTTCTCAGCTCTGATAATGCCTCCAATGACCCAGTCTCCATTGATCCCGTCTTTGATCCAAACCCTAACATCCCAGCTGGCAAATTCTCCCAAGCCGAGGTCAACATAGCCATTAAACAAATGAAGCTTGGCAAGGCTCCTGGTCTAGACAACATACCTATTGAAGTTTGGAGGCTTCCTAAACTTAAGAAATATCTCACAAGGTTCTGCAATGCAACCCTTGAAGGCAACCGCCCTCCAGAATGGGGCTTTTCCGGCATCGTCCCAGTTCCAAAGAAAGGGGACCTCACCATCCCAGACAACTACCGGGGAATCAGCCTCTCTCAAACTGCTGCCAAGGTATACAATCGACTACTTCTGAATCGCATTCGACCGGAAGTTGAGAAGATACTCCGTCCCAATCAAAGTGGCTTTCGGCCTCTACGTTCAACCTCATCTCAAATCCTTGCCCTCAGGCGCCTTATTGAGGAAATTCGTAACCACCAGAAGGAAGCTGCCATCATTTTTATCGATTTCTGTAAAGCATTTGACTCTGTTGACAGACCAACAATGTTTAAGATCCTGCATGCTTACGGTATCCCGGAGGAGACCACTAATGCCATCAAAAAGTGTTGTTGTTCTCACTCCCGAAGGTGAATCAGATTCGTTCTCCGTCAACACTGGAGTTCTTCAAGGTGATCCTCTCGCCCCGTACCTATTCATCATAGTTCTGGATTATGCCCTGCGGACAGCATTAAGTGTAACCGATGGTCTCACCCTCTCACGCCGTAGGAGTAGTAGACACCCTGCCCAATATCTATCCGACCTAGATTATGCAGATGACATTAGTCTGCTTGCAGACACCCTCCTTGATGCCGAATCTCTCCTCCATAAAGTAGGAGCTTGCTGCAAGTCCGTTGGTCTCTCTCTTAACGCAAAGAAGACTAAGGACATGTACATGGTCATCAACCCATCTTCCTCTGATGACGTCACTGCACTAGATGGCAGTAAGCTCGATAAAGTTGATGACTTCAAGTATCTGGGCTCCTACACCAACACAGCTCATGACATCGAGTGTGTTTAATAGGAAGGGGCGTAATCATACATGTCGCCACTACATTTTAAGTTAAATGGAATGGAGTTTGGCCGCCACCATGCATTTAAGTTTTTATCAGACTTGTGTTTTCTTAAAAGGAAGTGGTTTTCTGGCTAGAAAAATAGCAAGGAAGAACCGGTTTTGTGCAGGCAAAATTCAGGAAATAATCTGTTGATATTAATAACTTGTTGGAAAGTTCCAAGGTCATTCCAAGAAGGTTGCCGCCGTGAATTAGGGTTAAAACATGGGAGGGGATGGGATTTGCTATCAGCATCAGCAGGGCCGTTCCTCATTCTTTTCTTTTTATGGGATGTATGATAACATTGGAGTACGAGGGGCTCTGCGAGCTGATGAATCTTTTTTTGAAAACATTGTGTTTGCAACCAGCTAGGGAAGATTTTCGTTTATTTAAAACTTACAAGCACTGGTATGGATACCTGTGTAGTTATATGACTAAACTGCCTAGAGCGTATTTGTTAAGGGTTTTTTTTCCTTTTTTGGAAATTCAATACGCATATAGGGAGTAAGATCAGTTCCACTGCTGGGTTGCGGTAATGGGTGGGTTATAACTTGTCAACACATACCTCGCCAGCGGGCCCATTAGATTGGTGATAACCGGAGAGCGGGAGTTTCAAAAAAACTCATCCGGTGTATAGGCGACGCAGGGACTGGTTTGTGTACATGTGGTTTTTGTTTCTAGTTCACTTAATGTTTTGATTTATACCGGTGATAATATGCCGTCCCACCTGTTTTTCTTTTTTGTGTGTCGGGGGAAACAGTGCATATTTTCTGTGCCCTTTTTACGCACTTCATCAGTCACCCTTTGTTTAATTCTTTTGTACGTATTTACTTTATTGCTAATGATGGTAAAGAATATTTTACGCGTTAGCTTTTCTTGTAATGATCAGACTAGGTGGATTCCTTATTTTTTTATTTTTTATTTCGAAATCCATGCCTAAATGACCATTATGTTAGTTCTGTTCTTCAAGAAGTTCCAAAAGGATTTGAACGTTCTCCTCATCCAAGTTTTTTTCTTGGTTGGATGGTGGAGATGGGTTAATCCTTGAACGGACCAGGCCATCTTTTATGTTTTTTTGTCGTTTGTATGCCAGGATGGGTTGGGTTGCAAAGAGTGCACTGAGAAAATCATTATCGCTGATCAGATTCCAGTGTTTCAGAAGGGCCTGCTTAAGAGCTGGGTGTTTAATTTGTGGGTTGTAGGGTAAAACAAAGACCAGCGGGATATTCTTTTCGGTTTTTGCACGCTTTTTAGAGTTCACGCGAGTTTCGCCTTTTTGGGGAAGAAGGGCTAAATCTTCTTGGTTGTATCCGCGTTTTTGTAGTTTGTCTTTGAAGAATTCAACCTTCTCCTCAAATTCTTTTGAGTGTGTGCATATACGGTCATATCTCATTACTTCTCCCTTAATCAAACCGCCAAATACTGACTCAGGGTGGGCTGAATCTCGAGCAAGATACTGAAAGGTATCAGTTTTTTTGGTTGCTACTCGAGTATCCAATTTCCCTTCTTTTTTGAACCGTTCGCCTTTGTAGATGACGAGGTCGAGGAAGGTGACTTGACTGTTCGAAATCTCTGACGTGAACTTGAGCGTGGGATGAATTTGGTTTAGAGTTTGGACGAGGTCACCGGCTTGGTCTTCGTTACCGTTAAATATTATTAAGACGTCGTCCCTGTATCTCATGTAACTCACAATTGAAGGATTGTGTGGGAGAATAATTTCTTGTTCATATTTGAACAGGGTTATATCGCATATTTCTGGACTGCATTCGCTTCCCATAGCCACGCCAATTTTCTGTCTGAAGAACTTTCCATTGAATTCAAATATGTTTCGATGCATGATAAGTTCCAGGAGACAGCGAGCGTGTTCTCTTGTAGGTTTGGGTATTGCGTACAGACTGTTATCGGCAACTTCAAGTGCATCGCAGACTGATTCAATTGCCTCATCTTGTGGGCAGTTTGTATACATGGACACAATATCCAATGTGATCAATAGGCTATCCTGCTTCAATGTCACGTTGTTTAGTTTTTCAAGCACATGCCCGGAATCGCGTGTATATGTGCTTTGTTGTTTGACAATCGGAAGCAGAAAATAGTCTATGTATTTTGAAATTGATTGAGTCGGACCTCCGCAACCACTAATAATAGGCCTCCCCACAAACCGCGTTTCTTTGGGTGCTTCTTTGTGAACTTTCGGTAAGAGGTAGAGGCAAGGAGTTTTGATGTCGTGGTTGTCATGGTTGAGAAACTCAAATGTTTTTTTGGATATTACTCCATCAATGTGAAGTCTGCGTATGGCTTGAGCGACCTGTTGTGCGGTTTCCCCAGTCAGATCCCTATCAATCTCTTCATAATGTGGGCCTGATAATTGTCGTAGCCCCTCATGTATATAGTCTTGTCTGTTTAGAACACATACACCGCGGCCTTTATCGAATGGTTTAATGACTATGTCTCGTCTTTGCTTAAGGCCCCGTGGATTAATTCCGATTTGCGTGCGCCCCCGTGCGCACGCGTGCGCACGCGTGCTCATGCGTGCTACCCCGTGCTGCACGGGTCTGCCCGCAATTGCGTGCCGTTGCGTGCCGTTGCGGGCAACTGCGTGCCATTGCGTGCTTATGCGGGCTATTGAGCACAGGCAAGGGTTGCTACACTAATCCCTAGATTAACGCTGACAAAAGAAATTGGGTAGCCGGCCAAGGCGGCACCAGACAAAGAGGTTGTGATAAATAATGAAAGGTTTGCGATGAAAGGGCTGGAGTTCCAATGACATAAAAGACGTTGGTGCCTGGCAGTGCCACAATGCATGGTGTCTGGATTACTCTTTTATGATACGTGACATTACATGTACATGTACTGCACTTTACGTACGTAAGGCTAGGCTATTTTCATAGCTTTTTTGCGTCGTTTGATTGAGCTCCGGACATATTATATTTCTTTTTATTTTTCGTTGAGAGCTTCGGTTTTAATTGAAAGACACCGAACGTTCTTACTGTAAATATGAACGTCAGTTGAAAGACTGCTTTATTTATGTCATTTTTCTTAATTTATATTAATCTGCATTTTTAAGAAAGTTCCACTCCATTATTCAAGTTAAACACCAATTATTGAAAGAGAAAGAATACACATCATCAAGTTCATTTTCATCATTCAACTTTATAGTCCTCCGATCAAAAGTCATGATAGGCACTGCTGTACATCAATCATAGGCCTGCACGTACGTATCGTCATGATATGTTGATAAAGTAATAGGCCTCATAATTTGGGCCGTGCCCATTGAGAGTCAAGTTGATTTTTTTGTTGCAATGGCGATCGGTATTTTATTTGCTGTAGGCCCATGCATGCACAATTGAAGTTGAATGTTTTGTTCGTTTCATTGTAACTGTTGTATCCATTTTCTCATTGACATAAAAAAAAATGTTATGTGCTCTCAAATTTGATTTGTGAATTTCAAATTGTGTGGCAAAATATGAAATTTTTAGGGCACTTAGTGCTATTAATAAGCATATTAGTGAAGTTTTGCTTTTGGTCCCCAAAAAGTGAAGTGATGCACCATATTCCACGAAACTTGACGCTGAAATTTCCAACAACTTCTAGAGCCAAATATGAAAATATTCCCATATCTGGCCATCAGTAATTTTTCCCTTAAATGACCTATCAGCCATCAAAAAGTGATACTATATATGTCCTAAAAAATCTAAATTTGCAGGGACAAGTTTTGAATTGAGAAAACACTTAGAAATTTTCAGACCTGCAGTCCCGTAGGGTTTGTGCACAGGGTGACAAATGATTACCAGATATAGGAATCTTTCCGGCCATTTAGTTAATCCGGTGTTTATCACCTCCTGCCCCGATTTCCACGCAGCCCTGATTTTTTTTGGCACAATTGCAGAATACCCCACCACTCAATCTACCAAAAGTATAGTTCCAATCCCGCCCAGCACAACGCAGCACACGGAATATGTGTCCACGCATTATCTCTGTTTATAAAAACCACCACCGCGTGTCAGACAACGTCTGGCAATGGCCGATCCCGCTCCACACAACACGGAACATGCGTGCACGCGTTATTACTGTTAAATACCGCCAGCCAGACTACATGTAAGTCTGACACCACTTCCATCAGCGTACAATACCATGCGGTTGTAGACCAGTCTGGCTGCGTCTCGCCGTTTACAAAATTCTCTCATTTCGCTTCTGTACCCCGACCTTTAAAATTTCTTTGCGGCAAGGTGCGGCAAGCTTTTAATAATTTCTTTTGATACCACTGTTTCAATAAAAGTCTGCACTTAGTTCTGGGTACGAGTGTACCAGTCCGTACCATTTTTATTTATAAAGTTATGATAAAGACAGTTCGATTTTTCAAGTAGATTTTAATTCTACACGGTGTTTTAAATGAAAGTACCGGCTCACGCGGTAATGTTTGGGGCATTTCCTGTCCTTTCCTGGGCACTTTTATCATTTCGATAAAATTTCCTGTCTTTTTGGAACGCGTGTAATTATTGGTACCACCAGAGTAGATGAGTCATGCTTGGCCCTGCCAAGTGTTTACAATTAACTAATGAGCGGATTAAGGGACACAATGGCTAAAGTCCAAGACGATGTCTATTGTGCATTTCTGCGGTTTGTTTGTAATGTTGTACCGCCTGGCACTGAGCCCGTTTGCGTGCCACTGCGTGCAAGTCCGTGCCAATGCGTGCCGATGCGGGCCAGTGGGTTCAAAATCTCCTTTGTTCGAGCTTGCCTGCGTGCGCACGCGTGCGCACGGGGGCGCACGGGGGCGCACGCAAATCGGAATTAATCCACGGGGCCTTATACCTGTAGAACTGGCGTTTTGTCTTTCTGATTGTCTTGTTTGACACCAAGATGAGCAGATGTTACGGCATTGTGGGTAACTCGTAAGTCGTAACACAGTATTTTTCAGCTAGTCGAGGACTACGAGTTGAAGATATGACTTTGTTTTGTCGGAAGTTAC